ACCCGTAATAAAATGAATGGAGGAATTCACAGCACTTTGATTAAATGGGAAGGTTTTTTTACACCTTGAAGTAACTTACTATAATAAGACTACAAACGTGTCAGAGGTAAAGTGGTAGAAGGTGGGGTGGGACAGTAGGCACTTTCACAGGTGCATGTGGAAAATGATTTACTTAAAATCATCTGTTCCCAAGCAACCTTTAAAAATTTCCACGATCCCAAGGTACTCTTACTTCAATCTAAAGACCCTGCTACTGAATAAAATCTAAACTCCTTCACCAACCTCTTCAATTTTATCTCTTATCATATCCCACCCTCCCACCACAATTTACTATTTGCAGCTTTCTGAATCCCATACTGTTTCACATCTGTTGTCTATCTTCTCTCCATCTGATGGACACCTTTAAACTATTAATGTGAAAATATCACCTCCTATATGAAGACTTTCTGGGTTTCCTGGATAGACTAGACCAACACTCCTTCTCCCCCATCGTGTGCCATATCATAGCATAACACCCCTGACAATTGTTTCACATATGTATCTTCTTTTATTAGCTGAAAATTGCTTGAGGGACTTATTTTATTTACCTTTTAACTAATTTTGTGCTTAGAACATAGTGGATGCTCAATAAATATTAGCTGAATGAAGAAATTGAAGAACACTCAAATCTCAATTTCCTCACTGGTAAAATTTTATCTGTATGATCCTCTTCCAATTTTAAAAAAACCCAATAACTCTATATATTTTCTTAAATTTCTACAAATGTTCTATTTTCAGATTATTTTCTCTCCTAGTATGATCTCAAACTAGAGAAAATATTTTTACTACATATAGAAAATAGAGTATTTCATATCCTTTGTGATATTCCATTATGTAAAGTGATTCTATGATTTTAGGTTATCCTAAATAAAGCACATTTTTCTCAGAGATTGCTTAAAAACATGAATTGATTATTTCAACATAATTCCCTACTTGCTTTATATTCTGGTTGGTAAAAGAGGCAAGAAAGAGAGTTGTTCTACATTTTTAGTATGTCAACAAGAAATTATTTTACTATTAGGTAAATCAAGAAATCTACAATATTATAATACCCAAATTATCTCCAACTATTCTGGCTCTCCCTCTCTGTTCATGTATTTATGTATTTATGTATTTATTTATTTATTTATTTATTTATTTATATGTTTGCCCAACTCAACTGTAAATTTCAGAAAGTTCTGGTCTAGTCATTGGAAATTACGTCACTGTAGGTTAACTGGGGACCCATAAAGTGGGTACCTATACTCTACCCATCCCTGCAATTTCAAAGTAATAAACCAGGGAGGGTGGCTCATGCCTATAATTCCAGCAGTTTGGGAGTCCAGGTGGGAGGATCACTTAAGCCTAGGAGTTCAAGACCAGCTTGGGCAACACAGTAAGACCTCATCTCAATAAAAACTGAAAAAATTTTCTGGGCATGGTGGTGCATACTTGCAGTCCTAGTAAAACAGGAGACTGAGGTGGGAGGATCCCTTGAATCCAGGAGTTTGAGGTTGCAGTGAACTATGATCACGCCGCTGCACTCTGGCCTGGGCAACAGAGTGAGGCCCTGGCTCCAAAAAACAAAAACAAAACAAACAAAAAAGTCACAAAGCAGTAAGACCAGACTTCATGTCTTAAGTAGATAGTATTTACTTTATAAAAACAATTCTTTTTTGTTTTCTGTTTTTTGTTTTTGTTTTTTGTTTTTTTTGAGACGGAGTCTCGCTCTGTCGCCCAGGCTGGAGTGCAGTGGTGCGTTCTTGGCTCACTGCAAGCTCCACCTCCTGGGTTCATGCCATTCTCCTGCCTCATCCTCCCGAGTAGCTGGGACTACATGCACCCACCACCGTATAAAAACAATTATTAACAGTTGTCATTAATGCAAACATTGGGAAAGGGTAGGGCTCAGCATCTTTTAAAGCTATAGAGGACAGTCTTCTTTTGTAATTAAACATACAAAGTAACATAAAGTCATACCTTGATAATTCAAATATAGAAGAGAGTAGTAGCACTGTATCTCTAGCAGCTGTCCACATTAAAATAAAAGTAATTTTTTTTTCTGTACAAATATCTTTATTTTCATACTTAAAAAGAATCACATACTCATTCCAGCAGTTTTACTAGGTTTGGTAAACCCAATAAGTTACACACTCAGGTACTTGGAAGGTTATTGGACAGCTCCTTAGCCGATTGAGTCAGGGCAAAGTGGTCACTTTCACCACAGCCAGACTCTGGATTTGCCTCCTGGGAGGACACCATGCCTGGCACAGGCTGATGGGGTGGCTGCAGTCGAACCTTGCCTCCAGGTTATGAACCAGTTAACACAATTCTCGTGGCTACCTTCACTTCAGAGTGTCATGTTTATTGATGTGGAGCTTTCTGAGTAGGGAGGTCAAGGCACACCTGCTCAGTAAAACAAATATTTCTTGTAGTGTTCTAGATTGAGGGCAGCAGTCAATGGTAAAATACATCTCGGTAGCATGTTCCTGACAGGTTATACGGCAGCACTGGCTCAAGGATTTCTCCCCCCGCACGATTCCTAAGAATGTTTGCTAGTTGATTCTTTGTTTTGGCAATTTGATGGTTTTGATGAATTTGCTGTGATCCAGGGGTATTCAAGTACTTCTCTGAGCACTAGCCTCTGGCTGGGATTATACTTCAACAGTCTTGAAATGAGGTCCCTGGCTCCCTCTGTTACAAAGTCAGGGAATGTGAATTCTCAACTGATGATATTCTTTTGTAGGTCTCTTGGTATGTGTCTGCCTTAAAAGGAGGCTTCCCAACTAAAAATTCATAGCAAAGAACTCCAAGGCTCCAGAGATCCACCTTCTCATCATGCATCTGACCTTCAATCATTTCGGGGGGCAGGTAGTCCACGGTGCCACAGAGAGTGGTCCTCCCGGAAGATGGAGCATGTACTGACCACCCAAAATTTGCAATGTTAAGCTATCCAGCTGATCCAAGAAGTAAGTTCTCTGCCTTAATGTCTCTATGAATAACTGTCTTTGAATGACAGTAAGACAGGGCATTTGCCAATTCTGTGATATAAGTAGCAGTTCTCTGCTCATCAAACTTCGAAAGTTTCTGAAGTTCTCTATTGACTGTTTTAAGTGGTGTATATTCCAGAATTAGGTAGACTCTGGTGGCATCATGGAAATAACCATACAGTCTGATTATATCAGGATGTTGAAGGTAGGACTGTATTTCTACTTCTCTTCTGAGTTGATGCTCCAATCCTGCTTTCTCCAGCTGAACTTTAAATAACACTTTAAGAGCCAGAATAAGCTTGCTTTGTTTTTCTCTTGCCAAATAAACATTACCAAACTTTCCTTTACCCGGAAGGTGACCAATTTCAAAGTCTTCCAAAGCCCATTGCCTCTTTTTTGATTCTTCATTTTCCTGTTTTGATGCCAGTTCCTCCTCAGGATTATTTTCAGGTGCCGACAGCGGGGGCTGCTTGCTCTTTTAGGTGTTATTCAGTGGCCTGGAGACAGGATGAGGTACACTGGTTGCCTGCAATTGCTTCTGCTTCTGATTCTGAACTGGCTTGTGACTGGAGACAAGCTTTTGTGCTTGCAAAGGAACACGCTGGGAAGAATTTGAAGGACACAAGACCCACTGAGCCTGGCCACTATTTGCAGGTAATGGATTCTGACAAGGAAATTGCTGAGTCACGAGAACATGTTTTGGACCTCCAACTGGACATGTAGCCTTAACAGGCCCTGAAATGTAGTTTTCTTTAGATTGGTCCATGATGCCTGTAACCCTAGGACCTCAGTCTTCCAAGAGCTCAGCCCAATAAAAGTACTTTTAAACCAACTGATACACCTCTATAATTCACAAGTAATTGGGGTGTTTTATGTTTTTACATATCCTCTAGAGATGAGCTGGGTTAAGAAATTAAAACTATATCAGCTAAAAAAATTTAAGATGATCTCATGATTTCTGCTTCCCAATAAACATTTATAACATTAATAAATAAAGTGAAGAAAAGCAAAGGCAAATACCATCAGCAGTTTAAGTCAGGTCCCATTTACCTGCTCTGCTAATTTCATTTTTTATCTGTAAAATTTCACTGTACAAAAGTTTACGTTCAAAACTCTTTATATTACGGCTTGGCCTAGCCTATCTTAAAAGTGCTCAGAACACTTACATTAGCCTATAGTTGGGCAAAATCTTCTAACACAAACTCTATTTTATAAGGAAGTGTTGAAAATACCTCATGTAATTTCTTGAATACTGTACACTGTAGAGTACAGTCTCTCATATTTGCTGCTGCTACCCAGCATCACAAAAGAGTATCTTACCCATTGTATCACTAGCTCTGGAAAAGATCGAGGTGCAAAACTTGAAGTATGGTTTCTATAAAGTACACATTGCTTTCACATTACTGTAAAGCTAAAAAATTGGAAGCCAAACCATCATAAGTGTGAGATCATCTGTACAGGTTTTGCAAAGGGCCTCACTGGTGAAGAGGTCCATTCTGTTCATTTTCCACATGAATTGATCATAGCCACAATAATATCAACATACACAAACTCAAGAATTTGATTTAGAAGAGTAGTACATTAAACCGTATTTGTAAATCTATAGGTATAGTGCAAATTAATCTAGATGTTTGGGGTATATTTATATCCCCAACTGCCTGTGTAAGTTGGACACATATTCAATCTGTATGTACCTGAGTTTTAGCACCTATAATTGTGCCATACTATATTATAGCCATTAGCCACATTTGGCTACTTAAATTTAAATTAATTAAAATTAACTTGAATTTAAAAAATTCAGTTCCTCAGTTGCACTGGCCACATTTCAAAGGCTCAATAAACACATGTGCCTACAGGTTACCATACTGGACAGTATAGATATAATGATGAAAATAAACAGGATGATATGACGGACAATAACAAGTGGGAACAAGGGGGTTGTATTGACTACTTTAGATCAGGTGGTCAGAAAAGGCTGCCCTGAGTTGACATCTGAGCTGAGACTTGAATGACAAGATGCAACTAGCATGCAAAGATCTGCAAAAAGCATCCAAGGCATAGACAACAGTGAGGGCAAAAACCTCAACCACAAATGTGGTTGGCTGGTTTAACAACAAAAAAGAGTGTCTGAAGCATAAGAAATGAGGGGAGAGGTGTATAAGGTCCAAGAAATGGCAGGAAGCAGAGTCTCAAGGGCCTTATACCCCATTTAAGAACTTTGGATTTTATGTTAAGTGCAATCAAAAACCATACAGGGTTATAAACAGGGCAATGTTAGGCTGGGTGCGGTGGCTCATGACTGTAATCCCAGCACTTTGGGAGGCTGAGGCAGGTGGATCACAAGGTCAGGAGTTCAAGACCAGCCTAGCCAACATAGTGAAACCCCATCTCTACTAAAAATACAAATATTAGCCGGGCATGGTGGCGCATGCCTGTAGTCCCAGCTACTTGGGAGGCTGAGGCAGAAGAATTGCTTGAACCCGGGAGGTGGAGGTTGCAGTGAGTCAAGATCATGCCACCGCACTCCAGCTTGGGCAACATAGTGAGACCTCATACCAAAAAAAAAAGAAAAGAAAAAAGGCAATGTTGTGATCTAAATTATGTCTTAAAAGCTCACTCTACCTACTGTTGAGAATTATTATGGGAAACCAAGAGCGAAAGCAGGAAGATCTGCTAGAAGAAGACACATATCATATCATAGCCCAGGTTGAGAAAAGATCATGGCCTAGACCAGGAGAGTGGTAGAGGGATAAAGAAAATCTGTTCCTTTTTTCTACATTCCCTATCTACAATCCTGCATCTGCTATCCTTCACAGCCAAGCTCCTTGAAATAGTATACTTCACTTTTTAACCCCTTATTCTATAAATATGCTTTCTGCCTCCACTATCCTACTGAAACTGTCCTAAGGTCCAAGTTACTTCCACCTTCCCAAAACCAATGAGCACTTTTCTATCCTTTTCTTACCTGACCTCTGCTGCATTTGCAAAACTGCTGACTATTCCTCACCTTCATCAAGTTCTCGCCTTCCTCAGCTCCAAGGGCCTTACTCTCACCTGATTTTCCTCTTTCTTTTACTCCTTCTCAGTCTTCTTCCCAGTAACCTCTACTTGACTTTTAAACACCAGTGCTCCTCTAAGTTTACAGCTTTAGTACTCAGTGCATTTCACAACATACATAATCCTTGAGACTGAATTTACAGTTTTTGCTGTTAGCTCCCCAATTAACGTTTCTGGCCCAGTACTCCCTACTGTTTAGACTATCTATATCTGGTGTTCAACCAGATGTCCTTACTTGGACATACTGTAAACATTTAAAATGCGAAAGGTTGAAAATCTGTATCCTTTATTCTCTTATTATATACACTTGTCCAAACCACAAGCCAAAGACTTCCTAAACTCCCCCTCACTTACTAGTTACAATGCCCATCACCAGACCTTCAGAAGGTCCTGCAGATTCTAACTCCTTTGTCTTTCTAATCTAGTCCTTCATCTTCATCCTGCTAAGGTTCTTAATTCAAGCTCATATCATTTCTTGCTTGGATTACTTGAAGAGCTTCCTGATCCATTTCCCTTCTTCCAATCTCTCCTCCACTTTGCTACCAGAGCACATTACGGGTCTTCAACAAACGTTGTTGATTACATTAAGTACAAATCTGACAATGTCATTTCTCTACTTAAACTTTCAGAGAATCGCCACAACTTTCACAAGGCTTCTCATGGGCTAGCTCCTTATCACTATTACTGCCTCATTGCCCCAATTCTTCCTCTCCCATTCTCCTCTCTAGCCACTCAGCTTTTCTTAGTTCTCTAAATACCATGCCATTTCAGTCCTTCCTCTGCACATGCTATTACCGCTCCTTTACTCCTCTAACTAGTACTTCAAAGGTAGGCTTAAGTATCACCACTTGAAGAAAATGCCTCACATCTATCTCAATCACATTGAATGGAAGTTAGTGATTTGTCTGTAAACCATAAGTTCCTAGACGCAGGGTCCACCAACCTTATTTGGTTTGTAGCACCAATGACTGGCACAGAGTATGTAATCATTCACAGATGGGTTTGATTTGATATCTTCTAATTTTTTTTTAAAGGGAGAAGAGCTTAGTGGGCCTTATATCACCGTTCCGGCATAGCACAGAGTGAGAACGCTGTACTACAAAGCCAAATGTGCTTCATGTTGGAAATGCAAAAATAAAATAAAATAAAATAATACACAAGGCACACCCTTTCAAAAGATGAAATGTAGGAAATTCTGAGAGCCTATGTAGTATCTAAGAAACCAGCCTTGGAACTTTATACTACGTGGGGAAAGGCTTATTTAACACTTTGATGATAAAAATAGGTGGAAGGCTTCTCATCCCAATAAAGCAAATTAACCTTTCTTGGCTATGTCACTGTAATTTTAGTTTCTAATGTAGATTCTCGTTCACTTCCCGACAGGTTATTTTCCTTCTTTGAGAGACTCTTACCACCTTAAGAGTCACTCATTTGTCAGTCAGCCATTTGTTCTCAAAATCTGAATGGGGGAAACGCGGACGAAAGAAGGGAGAGTGTGGGGGGATGATCAACACTTTCGGAACGGGAGGTGGCAGAAGGCCACAGTCCCTGGGATGGAAGAGTGGGCGCTGGGGCAATACCAGAGTGGAGCGCTGACATGTGGCAAGGAACGGGGAGGATGCGATCACGGAGCAGGCAACATGAAACAAGGGACGACCCCAGGCTGAAGATGGGAGACGGAGAAGATACTCAGAGAGAAAGCTAGGAATGTGGGGGGAGGGGGGAGGGAGGAAGTGGTGATAGGCAGAGGCGAGAGGAAACGAGAGGCAGTTTTGGGCCAGGGATCAGAGGGGCTGAGAAGAATAGCTGGGTCGAGAGAAAGACAACACAAATGGGGCTTCAGGACGAGGTGGGCAGGGGGTCATCCCGGAACAGAGGGGAGGCACGGGGAGAACTGGGGGTCCAGAGGGCAGAGGCAGGAGGCGCAGAGCGAGTAGGAGACCCGAACCCGCCGAGCAGAGGCCGCGGGTGACGGGGGAAGGAACGGCGAGGAGAGAGGCACTTACTGGGGTCCCTCCGCAAGGCGCCGCTGGGGATCTCCTCCCGCAGGTGAGGAAAGAGGAAGTCCCGGGCGGCCTGGAGGTCCTGGAAGTAGCAGAACTGGACAATGGAGCAGGCCATGGCTCCGGGGAACCCCACTACGGCACTCACCGTACCTCACCACGCCCTGCCCCCTCCACCCCACTGCGGCCGCCGCCGAGCCCCAATAGCTCTAGCCAAGCAGAAGGCGGAGAAACCAAACCGGAAGCTGTCACTGACACGGGTCCGCTGTCTCGGAGTACTGCGCAGGCGCAGGCTGGCCCAGGCGCCCAGGGAGGGCTGGCCCGGGTCACGTGACTAGGGCGCCGCTGCTGCAGGTGGAGCCAAAGTCTACGTGGAGGCTTGGAGCAGATTTTCAGTCCCAGTTCTGCGTCTACACCAAGGAATGAACCCTTTCATTCATTCTGGCTTTTAGCCAGAGGTGTTCTAATTGGACTTGTCCGCGCAGGCCTTTGACTCATTCAACCAATCTTATTGATGCCCTAATATTGGCACGATCTTGATGTTTCACAGAAAATAATTCGTTTTAAACTAGTGGCAGGCCAGTGGGGGACTGTATCCTGCAAGAGTCGGATTTTGAAAAGATTAATTGCTCTTCCGGAGATTAGCCCCGTCAAGGCTGGCTTTAAATGCTCCTTCTATAAATTTCCATAGTACTATGCAAGCCCA